CAGAGTGTCGTCAGAAAGTGTAGTGACCCCCGATGTGGAACGTGTGGTTTCATTCAGGAAGGCGAACAAATTACACTTAAAAACGGGAAAGTTTTAAAACCTAATACTAGCATGAATTGTAAATCTTCAAATTTGATTTATTGTGCAATATGCCCAACCTGTGGCGAATATTATATAGGGCAGACAAATCAGCTTAACGCACGAGTGAGGGTACACAAGCAACATATACGGGACGAAACTGTCAGATGCACCCCTTGTTCAGAACATTTCGCCGAATGTGGTAAAGGGAAATTTAAGATTTTCCCGTTCTACAAAATGTGGACATCGGATGAAATCGCCCGTGTTACCAAAGAGGACTATTTTATAAGACTTTTTAAACCAAAACTGAATTGCAAATGAGATTATGTATAATTCACAAAATTTATTTTATTTCTATGCTTTAATTATACATTCTTTAACTGCGTTGAAAAAGTTCATGCAGCCGCTACCACGAACTACATTGTGACGTCATAATGACTTAAATTTTCACGACGTCATTAGCAACGTTATTGACAACGTTTTGAATTTTTTATAACTGTCTGAAGAGCCAACATGGCTGAAAGCGCTAACAGTAAAGATTTTATTTAATTTGGACTGCAGCATTCTGTTTTTATTTATTTAAGTATTTTTTACTGTACCAAGAATTTAACTTATCAACGTGTATATATATATATATATATATATATATATATATATATATATATATATATATATATATATATATATATATATATATATATATATATATATATTCAAAAAATTATTTTCCTTGGTATAGGGATAAAATAAAATCCAAATTCAAATGATAAACTCAAACTTTTATCTAAAGCGCTTTCGCCCCATGCGGGCTCATCAGTAGATTTGAAATTGTAAACAAGTTACATTATGACGTCATTCTCGTGACGTTATGTAGGCAACGTTAAACATAATGACTGTGACGTAATAGTAATCACAGTTAAATGAGGCGCACAGATAAAGTTTTACAGTTCATCTGATCAAAGTTAAGCGCCTATTATAAATGTACAATAATGGAGACATTTTATATAAAATGTACATAATAAAATAATTTGATATAAATTCCTTTTAACAGTTCAATTTTGGTTTAAACAGATTTATAAAATATTGTTCTTTGGCTTTCCGTAATTGTTCATTTTCCTCTTTTATTTTGTAAAAAGGAAATATATAAAAATGTCCTTTGCCACAAGAATCAAAGTGTTCACTACATGGCGTGTTTCGTATGGTCGGATCCTTAACCTGTTGTTTGTGCACGCGAACACGGTCGTTTTTAAAAATAATGGTTTGTCCGGTTTTTAAAAACGGAATGAAGTTTGACGTTAAATCTTCTATGACGTGTAAATCTAAAAACCTTATATACTGTATGACGTGTCCTACATGCGAGGAAAATTATATAGGACAAACCGGAACCAAATTAGCCGACCGTGTTCGCGTGCACACACAACAGGTTAAGGATCCGACCATACGAAACACGCCATGTAGTGAACACTTTGATTCTTGTGGCATTCTAATAAAAGAGGAAAATGAACAATTACGGAAAGCCAAAGAACAATATTTTATAAATCTGTTTAAACCAAAATTGAACTGTTAAAAGGAATTTATATCAAATTACATGTGTACATGTACATTTTATATAAAATGTCTCCATTATTGTACATTTATAATAGGCGCTTAACTTTGATCAGATGAACTGTAAAACTTTATCTGTGCGCCTCATTTAACTGTGATTACTATTACGTCACAGTCATTATGTTTAACGTTGCCTACATAACGTCATGAGAATGACGTCATAATGTAACTTGTTTACAATTTCAAATCTACTGATGAGCCCGCATGGGGCGAAAGCGCTTTAGATAAAAGTTTGAGTTTATCATTTGAATTTGGATATTATATATATATATATATATATATATATATATATATATATATATATATATATATATATATAATATCCATATATATATATATATATATATATATATATATATATATATATATATATATATATATATATATATATATAGATATATATATATATTGACTTGCCTAGATAGCCGAGCGGTCTAGCGCGCTGTTCCTGCACTGCTAGGAGACAGATTCCGAAGGTCGAGAGTTCAACCCCAGGCTGGGGCGGAAGTGGGTATCCATGTAAAAGTGAATTTCTTTGTGCTTTCTATATATATATATATATATATATATATATATATAGTTGAAAATAGTTCACAGTCGATGTCACACAGGTGAAAATAATTATAAAAGGAAAAGAAAATGCAGTTTCCAAATTTCATTTAACGTAGGTCGCGGGTTTACAGGGCTTTTAAAAGTGTTCGAAAACATGCCATGAAAATTACCTATATGAATTCTCTACCTTTGATTTCCATTCTCTGAAAATTTTATAAAATTCGTCTGCACCGTTTTTGTGTAATTGAATTCCAAAGATGTCATTGTTGTAGTTACATTTTCAACTGTATTCTATTGAATTATATAGGAAAAACGTCGTTTTTGGCTTGTTTTCAGGCAAGGTTTTGATTTAAAAAATATCATTAACTTTTAAATCGTGCAGATGAATTTGTTTATCCTTTGGTATTTAAAAATAGAATTGATTTGAAATAAATTTATGTAAAAAAATTATTATGTGTTCGGGTTCATTTTTTCGTAATTTAATTGTAGATAATTGCTTTTACATTGACAAATGTAGCATTTTAATTTAAAAACAACGTCATAAAATATCGCGACGTCATGCTTGGCGTCGTGAATATCGATCCGGTATACAGAGCACAAAAAAAAAAAAAAAAAAAAAAAAAAAAAAAAAAGAAAAAAAAAAATTCGGATTTTAAGAAAAGGGAAATTCACGTATATCTGCTTTCAAGTGACCAGTATCATAATAATTCAATAAAATAACTATTAGACATTTTTCCCTTTCAGCTTATTTCCTCTAATATTAGTGAAAATTCACGTAAAAGGCGTAAACCAACAGTCAGTCCTTTAGTTTTATATATATATATATATATATATATATATATATATATATATATATATATATATATATATATATATATATATATATATATATATTCTTTATGTGTTTATTTCTTACCGTTTCCGTTTTTTTTTTTAAATTCATGCGCGGATTCTCGCCGGAATTTGTAAAATAAAAGTGACCTTGTATTCCCCTCTGGAAAAGGCAGACTTCCCATCCCCGTTGAAATCGCAGATCCGTGATCTAAGTTTGTTTGAAAAGTCAAGGACTACTACCACCCCCAACCCCAACCCCGAAATATGTTTTTACGCTTTGTTTGGCGCAATCAACAGGCAGATTTTATTTTGTTCTTAGACTTTCAATGTATACATATAACATTAATTGTACTGAATGAATATGGAAAGCAACGCAGCAAATAAAATATGTATATACATCTATATAACTAAAAACAACGCATGCCGTTAGTTATACAGGCAATTGAGTATCGCCCCCCCCCCTTTCTGTTTTTTCTTGGGGTTTTCCTATTAGATTTTTAATACATATTGCATGTTATTAATAATGTAATGTAACCCTTTTATCTCTTTACGCTGTTTTTAAATACATGTTTTTCGTTTTCGACTGATACATAAGAAGAGACAGCTTGCAATTTGTTCTTATTCTCGACGTCTGCCTCACTTTATCTTCACTTGCATGATCACTATCTAATACGTAGATAATCATGGAATATGCAGACATTGATAAATTTGAAAAACCCTCTTCTTCCTTTTCAGATTTCCATTTATATAATTCTTTATGTGCCTCCGATTAGTAAATATTTCGATTAAATAAACATGCACATATATAGGGTGGAGTTGAAATTTAAAAAAAAAATGGAAAACGTTTACCCCCCCCCCCCCCTCCCCGCGTTAGGAGGTAAGAAATGGAAAGAAGGGAGGGGGTCATATCCTACGTGTCTGTGGTTATTTACAAGAGGTCAATGCCGCTCAAAAATGTATATTTCAGTAGTATTACCCCGGTAGTGCCTTAACAGTTTTTAATTTGTGATCAACCTGTATATAAATTCGTAGGAGATTAGCACATACCGTTTCATAAATATTGAGTTCGACTTTCCATCGGTGAGCAAAGTGTTGACGCTGTTTACGGAGATAAATGAAAACAAAGACATGCATGCCATAAATGGTTGTGTAGATAAATTATCGTAGAAGACAATGGTAATAAACAGTTTGTTAGTGCATTTCCACTGAAAGTGTACACTAAAATCACAGGCACCTGACGTTACTTATTTTTCTTTTAATAAGAAAAAAAATACACATATACCTAATAATAAACGTTTATTATTAGGTATGTGTATATTTTTTTTTATTAAAAGAAAAATAAGTAACGTCAGGTGCCTGTGACTAAAATGAGTGTTTTTCCTGAGGAGGGGGTATCGAGTGTAATTCGGAGTTAGATAATCTGTTTTATAATTATACACATTTAATACATGTATTTAATATTTATGAATTATACATGATACAAGGGTTAAAATTTATTTCGAAACAAGTACAAGTGCTCTCAGAATAGACCCGAGAAGATGCGATTAATAACACATAATGAAACGCTTTCTAACACTTTCAGTGTTGGTCATTGGAATCAAAATAAGCCTTCATTATTTTTTATAACTTCAGCATGTTCTATGAATATTGTTACACTAAACTACCCATTTTTACAAAAGTTATAGCTAGATAATGCACTGATTTTTTCCCTTTCTCACCGTGACGTCATAATCAGATGTGCACAAGAAAGTCGCCCAAATCATATAAATTGGGTACCCAGTTTTAATGACGTCAGCAAACCCGCGACCTACGTTAACACAAGCGCTTTCTGGATTTCATAATCCTTCTTCAGGTGTACATAAATTGAACTGATTGTTTTGCTTGGTAACGCTAACTATGACGTCATGACGTCATGAGAGTCTTTGCAGTTCGCATATTTACTAAAGTTCTTAGACGTAGACGTAAACGTAGAAGTTACGACTGACGTAAGATTGAAGATACGAATTCGTATTTTGGTATTTACAAAGCCACTCGTAGACGTTGACGTAAGTTAACGAATTCTTAAATGTACGACTGTACGTACGCATGCGCTTTCGGTAGTTTCACTTTACAGTGCGCCAAAATTTTATTTCGGTCGTCTGCGAAAAGAGAAGAATGGATGAGGGAAAGAAGCCTAGGAAAGCAAATTTTACGGATTTGGAGGTGGAGGTGTTGGTGGACGCTGTGTCCACCAACTACAAAGTGTTGTACGGGAAGTTTTCCCCTTCTCTGACCAACAATATGAAGACGGCGGCGTGGGAAACCGTCACAGAGAAGTATCAAATGCAATTTTCACTCATGATAAATATTTTAAACTTAAATTGAAGTAAACCAAGATTTCGTAGATTGAAAATCAGCTGATAAGTAGATTATTTAGCAACTATCAACACGGGTATGAAAGCTGATGTGGGTTTTTATCATAATATTGCACGGAAACAATGATGTTCATTTATTAGTTGACGCTGATTTCTGCCATACTTTTTTCTTTATTAATCAATGTACTTTTTTAAAGATTATATCAGGGTCCCTGTTTATATTAATTATTGAAAGGCACATGTATGCGTATACATATAGAGTGAATGCAGTAAGTCTACAGTGCAGAAGGGAGGTTGGGGATGTCAGAAAAAAGTGGCAAGACCTACAATCAGCCGTGAAAAAAAAGGAATCACAGAGGAGGAAGAGCATGAGACAGACAGGAGGAGGGCCCATGGAGCTTGGGGCGTTCAAGCCATGGGAGGAGAAAGTTTGTTTAT